GCATGATTTCACCTTGTTGGCTTGAAAGAAACATCATCATTCTTGATCCTGTTGATGTTGATCCTAGTAGCACAAATACACGGAGACCCTTCTTGGCTTAAGTGATCCTGTGGATGTTGATCCTAGTAGCACAAATACACGGAGACCCTTCTTGGCTTGAGTGATCCTGTGGATGTTGACCCTAGTAGCACAAATACACGGAGACCCTTCTTGGCTTAAGTGATCCTGTGGTTGTTGATCCTAGTAGCACAAATACACGGAGACCCTTCTTGGCTTGAGTGATCCTGTGGATGTTGATCCTAGTAGCACAAATACACGGAGACCCTCCTTGGCTTGAGTGATCCTGTGAATGTTGATCCTAGTAGCACAAATACACGGAGACCCTTTTTGGCTTGAGTGATCCTGTGGATGTTGATCCTAGTAGCACAAATACACGGAGACCGTTCTTGGCTTGAGTGATCCTGTGGATGTTGATCCTAGTAGCACAAATACACGGAGGCCCTTCTTGGCTTAAGTGATCCTGTGGATGTTGATCCTAGTAGCACAAATACACGGAGACCCTTCTTGGCTTGAGTGAAACTGTGGATGTTGATCCCAGTAGCACAAATACACGGAGACCCTTCTTGGCTTGAGTGATCCTGTGGATGTTGATCCTAGTAGCACAAATACACGGAGACCCTTCTTGGCTTGAGTGATCCTGTGGATGTTGATCCTAGTAGCACAAATACACGGAGACGCTTGTGAATCTCTAGGATCTCCTTGTTAGCCCTAGTCTTCAGGCTGGCTCCAGTCGAAGCACAGGGTCCTCGCTGATGGCATATACCAGGTATATGTATAAGATATTTTTTTCGTTTCGTACGTGTTTGTTATATTTTGAAGCTTGATGATCTACTTTTCCTTCGTTTTTATATCTTTCCTCACTGATAAGTAAAGAGTAAAGTAAAGATCCCTTTCATGGGAAGAGCGTCCCATATTTTTACAGACCAATCGACACTGTGTGGGTAATGTGCTCAGCATTACGCCGGCCGTCTTTACTTCCCCAGGACAGCCATCGTGGTACCCATTTTAGACTGGGTCGACCTTGCGACGCCCCATACCAAGATAAAAATCCACGCAGTCCGCAATGGGTTTCCTCACTGATAGTATAACTTTAATGCAATGCAAACATGATATAATTTCTGATCAAAGATGTCAGCACGTGTACCTCTAGTATTGCCATCTGTTATCATGCTTTAACCTTCTTCTTACTACTGGAGACGATTAATAGTGAGAAACATTCATAAAACAGAGGCCATCACGTATCAGAACATGGAATTAAATCGTTTTCGCTTGCAGACATTCACGCAAACGTTTCTGTGGCTACGACATGCATAAACAAACTCAGGCAAAAGACCAGTTTAGTTTCATATCATTTATGAGAGAATTTAAATTCATTGGCAATAAATAAACACAGCAAGTACAAGAGGATCTACCAAACATTGAAGACGCTACAGGGATTGTCCTTTGTTCGCACATAGATTTCTCACAATGTTTGTGTGATGTAAGGGTGACAGAATCCCGACTGACTTCAGGTAAAACACCTGTGCAACAGTCAGTGATAGAAATCGATGATTGACTGGACTGGTCCGGGGAAACAGACCTCACCACAATCTTGCTAACACAGTCAGGTCATACTGCCGTCTCTAGTATTCTGTGACGGTTCCGTGAACTATGGACACTGTCAACTCACAACCCTCCAACACACACACACTATCGTTCAACACACCCACATGCACAGACACACACACACACACACACACTATCGTTCAACACACCCACATGCACAGAGAGACACACACACATGTATATATATATATAAAGAACACGTTTTCTGGTCATCGTTGCCGGTTGGCATGTCTGCTTCAACTTCCTGGCCAAGGCTCTTCCAGTCATGTCGGTCAACAGATGTTCTCCTATATATATATATATATATATATATAGAGAGAGAGAGAGAGAGAGAGAGAGCAAGTAATAACAGCACGAGGGATCAAGGAATAAAACAATTTCAATGTGGACAACTGCCAGGTGACCTCGCCAGACGGCTGTCAGTCTAAACATGTCACATGATTGTCTGTGAATATCTGACAGTCTGACACTGGACAACTGCCAGATGACCTTGCCAGACGGCGGTCAGTCGAAACATGTCAAATGATTGTCTGTCAATGTCTGAGAGTCTGACACTGGTCAACAACTCCTGGCAGTCGCCACTGACCTGCACGTGCCATTCTAAGCAAGCTCATTCATTCTTTCATCATCATTGTGATCATCAATGTTATTATTATCATCATTGTGACCATCCATGTTATCATCATTGTGATCATCAGTTTTTTTTATCATTATTATCATATTCACTGTCAACAAAATGAAAACTATAGTATCAACATTACCATCATCATCTTAGTAAAAATAAAGGACCCATTTCTACCGCCTTCAAGCGTTTCGGGAATATTTGGGCTAGATCTATCATTTATACACACATGCGGTACTCGATGGGCGATTTGCTTAACATGACGCGGGCCACCTTTACTTCCCAACACTTTACCAGTTACTCATTAAAAACTGGGTCGATCTGCCAGCCAGTGTTATTTCAAATAAAATGAAACGTGCGGCTCAGTCAGGATATGAAGACATGGCAAACTTCCGATCGGCCGACGAGCCTATAGGTGCTACACAACGGCTCACATGTGTGTGCTTGCATGCGTGCGTGTGTGTGTGAGTGCGTGTGTGTGTGTTTTATCTGCCTTTAGAGCACAAACGAAACCTGTCTACTGCGCCACACGTAAATTATATAAAATGTAATAGTTAAAGGCAAGTTTAATCAAATATATGAGTTCATTTGAACACTATTCTAAAAAATATGAAATGAATGTAAATTGTCTGAAAGATATGCGTTGAATGTAAATTGTATAGATTGTAATTACTTAATGCAGGCTGTGTGAACTATATGCGTTGAATGTAAATTATGTAGATTTTATGTACTTGTTACAGGTTTGTATACTTTTTTGTGTATGGTAAGTATTCAGAAACCATGAGTTGTTAACCCTTTGGCTCGTTTCTATGGATATCGTCACCCTTTGGCCTGGATTTCATGATAGGTACTGTAAATTTAGGAGAAATATAACTTTTCTGACTACCCCCGGGCGTGAACCCGGACCACAAGGAGCTCGTCACAGAGTCGCCGCGAAGTCAGGTTTAACCAACTACAGTAGCAAGTCGGATGCTTTGTATAATATAAGCGTTGAATGTCAATTATGTAGATCGTATGTGCTTAATGCAGCTGTTTAAAACATAACGTTTTTGATGTAAATTCTAGACAATAAGTATAATTATAAATTTTTAATGCAGCTTTATAAAACATTTGTTTTGAATGTAATTTTTCAAAAGATAATACTGAATGTAAACTATATAAAACATGTGTTTGTGAGTGTACATTATATAAAATGTATGTTGGTGTATCAAATGAAATTGCCGAATTTTAGTTTTATAAATACATCCGCATACATTCTACACACTAGATGTAATAGTATATTTTATTTAAAAATTATAAAGTGATGTAAATTAAAAATAAAATGTGTTGAATGTATATTTATAAAATTTTTAATTAAATGCAAAATATATCTATTTGCATGAAATTCAAAATGGTATAAAATACATGTGTGAATGTGTATGTAATAACCTATGCGAATTTACCCTAAACTTATTAACATTATACCGCATTTGTAAATATTATATCACTGAATTGTCATCTATTCGTTTTGATTTTAAATCTGATGAAATATACGTATGGAATATACATGTGACAAATGACGACTGTCTTGAGAGTATATAATATAATGTGTGATTTGTCTTCTTTTTGTTAGCCTGAAGAATCTACAGTACAAAGCCAACAAACAAACGCTCGTGTCAGTTGTCAAACATATGCATATCCTCTGTTGCAGCTGCGGTGGCCCAGTTCCTAAAACGTTGACCGGCCCTTGTGACGGTCATGGGCTGGAGTCCAGACAAAATCTTCATTTAACAACAAATCACATACAGCCATAGACTCACTCCGTACAAGCGGGTCGGCGTCAAGTTCACCGCGTTATTTAGGCCCTAGAACATATGCTCAAAACACATGAGGCGCGAGTGTATGGCTTTAGTATTGTTTGACTTCAGTACTTGATTTTGATAACAAGTTGATGTAAAAGTGGTTATTGTTATTTTTAATGAACAAGACAATTATCCCGTGGACAATAAATGTTATACGATTATTTCTGGGAATGCCTTGTGTTCAGTAAAATAAACATATTCTATAAGTTATGAACATGGAAGTCAACTGACTCAGTTCTGAATTTTTGTTCATTTCTGTATGTTCGTCCATTTCTAGACTTTGATCTTGTTCCAGAACTTGGTGTCTGCGTGTACATCTGTTTTACAGATCTGGTATATGTGTGCGCAAGCCTGTGCTTGCTTGCCTCTCATGCAGATGCGCTTTGACTTGGAGGAACCGTCGCTCATTAGTTGTCCTCTAAAATAGAACCATCGCTCATTAGTTGTCCCCTGAAATAGAACCACGGAATCCCACCCATGGAGAAACCTGTGAGAATCCTGATTTCGGAATTGCTTCCCGAATAGACAGACAGCTGAGGGTTCCATTAGAAGAGGTCAGTACCAGATAGTCACATAGTTAGTCCCGAGCGGTTATACGGCCAGACGGTTACAGTCAACTGGTTACAATTAACTTGTTACAGTCAACTGGTTACAGTCAACTGGTTAGAGTGTCAATCACCTACGCCCTGTGACATTTGCTGAGCTTCTTTGAATTTGCCCAGTCTTCTATAACGGCGAATCTGTGTGTACCAACAGTCAACACTTATCTGAAGGAAACTGGCAGTAGTTCAAACATGCACACAGTTCCTGATCAACGTGTGCTGATGAATGTGGCGTAAATGTAGTCATTTGTTGACACTTTGATTAGGAAATCATACGGAAACATCGGAGACAAAATGGCTCTGCGTATTGTGTGCGAAACTAGTCTCAGAGATATCTCCGTCGTCACGATCACGTGGCTGGGAATCAAGGCTTCCCTGGAATTTCTCCTGCGGCCGAAATTGATCTCTGTTTGGGATTTTCTCATTTGTGGTTGTACTTCTGACATCGCTGTTCACATGATATTCATTGTTTCCATCGTCACCACAACATTTAGTGTCCATGGGCTCTTCGTGTTGGGTGGAGCAGGTAAGGTCTTCCTCATCTTCGTCGTCGACACCAGCTTGATCAGGACTATGAACTGGCGTACTGCATGTATCTCGTGTTTCGTCGCTGAGGCTAGCCAAGGAGGACGAAGAGGGCGACTGCAAACCGCCATTGTTGAACGAGTCTCTCAGGGTTTTCTCCTGCACTCTCCTGAGATCCATTTCACCGAAAGGTCCCGGTGGAGTTATCTTTGGCGTGGGCAGTTTCTTGGCGGCTGTGACGTCATTCTTCAGCTCTTCCAAATCTCGTTTGAGTTTGGCTCGGCGGTTCTGGAACCAGGTAATGACCTGGGCATTGGTCAGTCCCAGGCTGGCGGCAATGTCATCCCTATCGGCTGGGGTCAGGTACTTCTGGTAGAGAAATCTCTTCTCTAGCTCGTAGATCTGCTGGTTGCTGAAAGCCGTCCTCGACTTCCGTCTCTTCTTTGGCGGTTGATGCTTCCCGAACAGTGTCGTCTGATCTCTGCGCCGAACATCTGAGGAGAGACAGGTCAACAGGTAGGTCAAATAAAGGTTGCAGAACAACTTAGCAATATTGTTTGGCTCTCTATACAGATCAAATCTTTTTCTTCTTCTTCTTCTTCTTCTTCTTCTTCTTCTTCTTCTTCTTCTTCTTCTTCTTCTTCTTCTTCTTCTTCTTCTTCTTCTTCTTCTTCTTCTTCTTCTTCTTCCTCTTCTTCTTCTTCTTCTTCTTCTTCTTCTTCTTCTTCTTCTTCTTCTTCTTCTTCTTCTTCTTCTTCTTCTTCTTCTTCTTCTTCTTCTTCTTCTTCTTCTTCTTCTTCTTCTTCTTCTTCTTCTTCTTCTTCTTCTTCTTCTTCTTCTTCTTCTTCTTCTTCTTCTTCTTCTTCTTCTTCTTCTTCTTCTTCTTTTTCTTCTTTTTCTTCATCTTCGTTCTTCTTCTTCTTCTTCCTCTTCTTCCTCCTCCTCTTCTTCTTCTTCTTCTTCTTCTTCTTCTTCTTCTTCTTCTTCTTCTTCTTCTTCTTCTTCTTCTTCTTCTTCTTCTTCTTCTTCTTCTTCTTCTTCTTCTTCTTCTTCAAAGAAAGAAAGAAAGAAAGAAAGAAAGAAAGGAAGAAAGAATGAAAGAAAGAAAGAAGGAAAGAAAGAAAAAGAAAGAAAGTCAGACACATCAAAGTTAGTTATATAAACAGTGAACTGAACACAAGTAGTTGACAACAAGAATGTGTTCATGTGGTGGTCAGATTTTCGCAGACGCGTGTTCTCGTGCTACCATCTGCACTCGTCGTGTCTGGTGGCTTTACTGCGGCTGATGAAGTCTCTTACACCGGGCATCTGGTCCAAAGGCCACCCTGCTCTCCGTGTGTCAATCACTGGGCCCTGTCTGCCCAGTCTAACCGCCCACTTGTAGCGGGTGGGCGTCTGCCAGAAAGATCTCCTTGGATCGAATTCTCCAGTCTGTCAAGCCGAGAACAAAGAAGCAACTATAACGTCTAGACTGGCCACAAGGACGACTGTCCACTCAAGCAGTGTCTCTGTGATTACAGCTGGAGATGTCTGGTCAGTCTGCCGAGGATGAGCAATGCGCCGTGAGAGTTCATTTTCTGAGTACCTGGCCTGGACACAGGAGCCGTTTAAGGAAACTGTCAACGACACGAGATCTGTTTAGACAACCTGTCAGAGGTCGGATATCGCTAGTTCCAGGAACACACCGGGCCTGTGTGTGGCGGGGTAACTTGAACCCAGACTAGGTAACGAGGATGTGACAGGTTCTGTCGCTTACTCACTGTGTGTGTATTGTGTTGGTACTGTCAGCGTGAACTAGGGCTTCTAATTGACTCAAGTGGCTTGTTTTGGCAGAAAGACATTCTGTCAGTGTAAATGTTGCCGCAACCTACACTGGACATATCAGACCGGCTTGTGTCTCATGCGCCTCTTCCAAGGTAGATGTAGAACTGTTAGCACAACAGATAAAATAATACACAAGAACTTCATGTCCTCACCGGCCTCACCTTTGGTTTGTAAACAGGAAAGGACGCGTTTCTCAGTCGGCACGTCAAGGAGAGAAAGATACGACAAAGACAGTAGGGGCCATGAAAGGGCTAGGTTTTAGAAAGCGACAATTTGAGTAGTTTCGGTCATGTAACTTGGATACCAACAGACAATATACCACAACAAGCAACGATTTACAGACCCAGCGGGAATCGAAAAAAGGCCGACCATACAAACTATGGACAGAGCGATAGCAGAGTCACGGAAATCCATATGAACAAAGCATACACAAGGGCACACGCCCCGTCCAGTGGTTTAATAGTTTCTCTGGACACCGTCACATCAAGAGGATCACGATGGGATAGAAGTGTCCACCACTTACTGACATGATGGACTAGTGTCCACCACTTACTGACACGATAGACTAGTGTCCACCACTTACTGACATGATGGACTAGTGTCCACCACTTACTGACATGATGGACTAGTGTCCACCACTTACTGACATGATGGACTAGTGTCCACCACTTACTGACATCATAGACTAGTGTCCACCACTTACTGACTTCATAGACTAGTGTCCACCACTTACTGACATGATAGACTCGTGTCCACCACCTACTGACATGATAGACTAGTGTCCACCACTTACTGACATGATGGACTCGTGTCCACCACTTACTGACATGATGGACTAGTGTCCACCACTTACTGACATGATGGACTCGTGTCCACCACTTACTGACATGATAGACTAGTGTAGACCACGAACTGACTTCATAGACTAGTGTCCACCACTTACTAACATGATGGACTAGTGTCCACCACTTACTGACATGATGGACTAGTGTCCACCACTTACTGACATGATGGACTAGTGTCCACCACTTACTGACTTGATGGACTAGTATTCACCACTTACTGACATGATAGACTAGTGTCCACCAGTTACTGACATGATGGACTCGTGTCCACCACTTACTGACATGATGGACTCGTGTCCACCACTTACTGACTTGATGGACTAGTGTCCACCACTTACTGACATGATGGACTAGTGTCCACCACTTACTGACATGATGGACTAGTGTCCACCACTTACTGACATGATAGACTAGTGTCCACCACTTACTGACATGATGGACTCGTGTCCACCACTTACTGACATGATGGACTAGTGTCCACCACTTACTGACATGATAGACTAGTGTCCACCAGTTACTGACACGATGGACTCGTGTCCACCACTTACTGACACAATGGACTAGTGTCGACCACTTACTGACACAATGGACTAGTGTCCACCACTTACTGACACGATGGACTAGTGTCGACCACTTACTGACACAATGGACTAGTGTCCACCACTTACTGACACGATGGACTGGTGTCCACCACTTACTGACATCATAGACTATTGTCCACCACTTACTGACATGATGGACTAGTGTCCACCACTTACTGACACGATGGACTAGTGTCCACCACTTACTGACACGATAGACTAGTGTCCACCACTTACTGACACAATGGACTAGTGTCCACCACAAACTGACTTCATAGACTAGTGTCCACCACTTACTGACATGATTGACTGGTGTCCACCACTTACTGACATGATAGACTAGTGTCCACAACTTACTGACATGATAGACTAGTGTCCACCACTTACTGACACGATGGACTAGTGTCCACTACTTACTGACACGATGGACTAGTGTCCACCACTTACTGACATGATAGACTAGTGTCCACCACTTACTGACATGATAGACTAGTGTCCACCACTTACTGACACGATGGACTAGTGTCCACCACTTACTGACATGATAGACTAGTGTCCACCACTTACTGACATGATGGACTAGTGTCCACCACTTACTGACATGATGGACTAGTGTCCACCACTTACTGACATGATGGACTAGTGTCCACCACTTACTGACACGATGGACTAGTGTCCACCACTTACTGACACGATGGACTAGTGTCCACCACTTACTGACACTGACTAGTGTCCACCACTTACTGACATGATAGTGTGTCCACCACTTACTGACATGATAGACTAGTGTCCACCACTTACTGACATGATGGACTAGTGTCCACCACTTACTGACACGATGGACTAGTGTCCACCACTTACTGACACGATGGACTAGTGTCCACCACTTACTGACACGATGGACTAGTGTACCACCACTTTTACTGACACGATGGACTAGTGTCCACCACTTAGGTCAACTGTGAACACATCCCGGTGCGGAATGGAAACCAAGGTCAACTTTGAACACACATCCTGGTGCGGACTGGAAACCAAGGTTAACTGTGAACACACAGCCCGGTGAGGACTGGAAACAAAGATCAACTGTCAACACAAACCGGTGCGGACTGGAAACGAAGGTCAACTGTGAACACAGCCCGGTGAGGAATGGAAACCAAGGTCAACTGTGAACACACAGCCTGGTGCGGAATGGAAACCAAGGTCAACTGTGAACACAGCCCGGTGCGGAATGGAAACCAAGGTCAACTGTGAACACACAGCCCGGTGCGGACTGGAAACCAAATTCCAGGAGCTGTTGTCAATCCTTATGTTCATAGTATATATTAACAAAACCTACACCAACTAATAACACACAAAACGTTTGGTATGTGTATGTATGTGTGTGTATATGTGTGGTGTGTGTATGTGTATACACGTGTAATGTGATATCTGTGTGTGTGTGTGTGTGTTCATGTGTGTGTAAAAACTAAATTTACAATGGTGTATTTATTTCTACCTTCCCAAACACTAGAGATTCATGAAACATGACAATCAATCAAAAACATGTCTGCTATTGTGTATGTGTGTGGATCACTCAACATCTCTAGCTCTCATTCTTATGCACGGCCTGATTGTAAAACTTTAATGAGAACCCACACTCACAAATAGGATATGTGTGGTTTATATTCCAAGGAATCAGAGATCTGTTATTTTAAAAATAAATCAAATGTTTTTTAACCGATAAATCAAATGTTATTTTACCGATAAATCAAACACCCTTCCTTCCTTACCCCCAAAAAAAAAAAAAAAATTACACGTAGATCAAATCCTGGGGGTTTTCCCAATAAAATCTTTCCCTGTTGCTATTAATGGTACGTTCCAAAGACAACTAATATCCGATTTCCACCCCCTGGTTAAATAATGAGTCATGCTAACCGTTGACCTCACGCAGCGTGCATAGCGCCGAGTGAGTAGAACGTTGTACATCAGGCAATCTACTCATCTGGAAACTTTTCAAAACACGCCAATCTGAAGAGAGTAGTACCAGCTGATGAAATATGAATGCCAACATATATTCTCATGTTGACTTTTACGGTTTTTAAAGTAGAAGATCGAATTTCCCGTGCACCATGGAAACAGCAAGCTTTCGATCTGATTATGATAATTTATGTGCATATTAACGAGCCCTCTGTGTGTCGAGCCCCGCCCCGTGGATGTTTGAGAGATTGAATCAATGATATCATGGCCCTCAAATCCACGTTTGCC